TTAAAAAAAATGGCATTCATTGATTCTCTTAGCTGGACTCGCATCAAGTAACGCCACCACCGTGTTTCCGGGCCTTGTCTTGGTGGTGGATCTAGTTTGGGGTGCAGATCATAGTTTGTGCATTTTGCTTTGGCTTCAAGATGGTGTTAACTGCCTTGGCCAAACCCGTGAGTGCATCAGCAAACCATCCTTCACAGACAGATGCGAGGCGGCCAGAATCGATCTGCTAAGAATATTTTTAGGGACTATTGATGGATTGCTGTATTTTGTGCTTAACTCAAGTGCCAAATGCCCCAGAGGTGACGAAGATGAACTTCCCCTTTACTGAAGATGAGCGAGGCCATCACGCACACAGAGGGCTCCGGGATGGCTGGGATTGCTTTCGAGGTTCTTGGGGGAAATTTCTTGACAGCCTTGTAACTATCTGCTGGTGGGGACCGTGCAGCAGTCTGCTTGCTGCCGCCAAATGTTACCCAGCTGATCACCTTCCAGTCCGGGGACACCTATCTGTGAAGTGTGAGGCCACATTGTACGGCAGCCAAACAGTGAATCCTCAGTCTCCAGGATGATCCGGAACACAGAGGCACTAATGGCCCCTCATCTTTCTCCTAAGGCCACCCCCACAGAAGGCGGGAGCCACGTTAAACTGTGCTTCTGTCAGCAAGCTGAGAGCCCTGGGTCTCTGACGTGGCTCTCAATTGCACGCAGGTCTCTCTCATTGCACCTCATTTGCATCTGGGACATCAATTAGCATGTTTGTTGAGGCTAATTGAATGAAACTCAATCATAGCTCTTAATTGCTTGACTATGTGAAAAGAAATCACATTAATGCAGCTAATTAAGTGTACGGCAATAGATGCAACATAATTAGGAGCAAAATGTAAAAAACAGGAGAAGGCAAAGGTGCAGGCGCGGGGTGCAGGGGGACAGCCAGGCATGGTCGTCGAGCTGTTGGCGTGTTCAGGAACGGGTCCCTTTGCTCTGGCGCCTGCTTGGGAAAAAAAAAAAAAGAATCTGCATGTTAAGCGTGGACAAGTTGAGGAGGAAAATGCAAATAGGTTTGCAATTACTACTTTTTCAAGCTGTTGAGGGGCAAGAGATGGCACGTCTGGGGGGCCTGGCTCTTGAGTGGGCCCCAGGGACTTGTTAAGTGCTGTTTAAAAGTACTTGGCTTTGAATTACCCTCACGCCTTGTTAAAGGGTTTTTCCCCTCTTTTATCTTCGATCAGCATTTTCTGCAGCTAACGTGGAGAAGGGTATCTGAGTAGTATTTGCATATCAAAATAAGCTTGCTGTCTTTATTTTACCCAGCGAGGTCCCTACCTCATACTCACCCTGGGTCTGCATGTGTTGTCTGCTTCTGAAGGCACCACATTGTTTAGTGGTTGCAGCTTTAATTCCTCAAGTACCAAGCTGGGGAGAGATGAAAAGGCCCTGTTCTTGTAGAAGCAGGATCAAACTCAGGCAGATTTCTCTGGGGAGAAGAAACTAGGCAGAATGGAAACATAGGAATTGCCAAGTGAACGTCTGGTTTTCATTCTGTTGGTTGGAGTGTGTGTGTTTACACACAAATCTGCAGAGGCTAAGAGTCAGTGTTGAATGTCTTCCTCTGTTGTTTTCCCCACCTGGAACACAACTAGAGTGGCTGGGCAGTTAGCCCAAGGGTGGTCCTATCTCTACCTCCCTAGCCATGAGACCAGAGACAGTCATGCTGGTGGTCAAGCTTAGGCCCAGAAAACACTTTACCAATTGAGCCTCCTGCCCAGCCTTTGGTGCGTAATTTTCTTTGAGCCAATTTTGAAGCTTGCAGTGCCTAACACAGGCAAGAAAACAGATCGTCCAGCCCATGCTGGGCTCAAGATAAATGTCTTCCCTTGGCGTGTTCAGATCTGGAAAACAGATTTTACATTTCTACAATAATTTTAAGTAAAATATCCTGGTTATTGTATGTTAAAACATGCCTATTAAAAGAGCCCACGCTGGGGCTTAGTCACTCTCTGATTAGCCTCATTTTAGAACTCATAAGCAATAAATGCTCAATTACACTCCTGTTATTGTATTTTAATTTGTTAAGAATCGGCATTAAAGGAGAAAGTTGCAGCAAGTTGGTATGTTAAAGGAGTAACTGAAGGAAGGAATTCTTTGTTTGCAGACAGAACTCTGTTTGGAAACTTGGGCTTGCGTGTGTGTGCCTACTAATGGCAGGCATAAGAGATGAGAGCAGCCTTTCTTTCTAATGACCTGCCCCACCTGGCGTCCCTTTCTTCCCTGGTGGACACTCATTTGCTGTCTTGGGTACCAAGCTTCTCCCATCAGAGTCCATACTGTCTTCAGGCTGACTCCGTGAGGATAACTCCTTCCATCTTTGACCCACATTTTCCCATCATGGGCATATGGCCCGGGAAATAGCACTCCTATTACGGTGGCCAGGAGCCAGCGAATAAATCCTGTAACAGCTTTATCCATGTGGCATAGTACCATGTCCATGGCAAAACCTCACACCTCAGCTAAGCCCCCAAAGCTTTCTGACAGCATACCTAGAGTCCAGTTCATGCCTGTCCTAGCCACTTCCCAGCACAACCAAGGTGACACAGTCAAGGCTAACCATCATAGGTGTCTTCCCAGAACTTTGTCGGCTAGGCCGTGGATATCCTTGTGCAATTAAATTAGATGGCTTGCCTCCTTCCCAAGAGTGACGAAAGATTTCTCATGACTTTCATGCCACTCCCTGTGCCCACACAGCTCCGTCAGTATACATTGCCCTGCTGTTCTCCAGCGGACTATGGCCCCTGACCTTCCCATTTGGCATGTGTGGGTGATCTGTCTGCATGTGTTTGCTGTACTCTTAGGTGCTCAGGACAACCGGCTCACTTTCCCAGCTTGCTGGGCTCATCAGTCAACATGAAAGATGGATGCTCTCTTCTGACATTACCCCAACCTGAACTTAATTACTGAGAGCAAACACAAATTTCAGGGTCTCCCCAGAAGCCTATATCCCACTTCCAGCATAGGTAAAATGCCAGGTCTCTAAACAAGAGGCCTCATTGAGAAGGTGATGGTGGTGATGATGGAGGACAGTGTGCCCGTCAGCCCCTGTTCCCTGGCTCAGTTGTTGTGCCCCTCAACTTTCAATCCCTGTGACCAAATACTCGTAAGGTAATCAACTTCTGTGGTAGAAAGTTTTATTTTGGCTTATAGTTTTGGAGACTTTTGTCCACGGTCACTTGGCCCTGTGGGTTTGAGCCTGTATCAGCATATCATGGCCGGAGACACCTTCTCACCTCACAGCAGCAGGCATCGGGGAGGGAAGAGGGGAATGAAGGCAGACTGGCCTCCCAGTGTCCTTTCAAGAGCACACCCCAGTGACACAGCTCCCCCACCAGGTCTCATCTCTTAGAGAGTCACCACCTCCCAACAGCATCGCAGCCATTTTCACGGATGTTCACCCAAACTCTGCCTGCCATTCCCTTCCTTCGGCTGTTCCCGGATATTATGTTTCTTCCACTGTGTGATGGGGAGTTAACTGACTTAGCCCAGGCTACCCTCTGATAGTTGCTGGCTGTTGGCTTCTGACACAAGGGCCAAGGGTTTGGTGGATTTGTTTCTAGGTTTTTGCTTTGCTTTATTTTATTAACTTCCTTTGGGAAATTGTGGTCAAATGCCTGAAAAGAAGCGGTTTTGGAAGGATGGGATTTCTGCGTTAACTTACAGTTCCAGCAGGATATGGTTCATCAGAGGTGGGAGGCTTGGTGGCAAGAGCAGGAGGCTGCTAGTCAAACTGCTTCTGTTCTCAGGGAGCAGAACGAACAGGAAGTGAGAACAGGCTATTCAGTCTTAAAACCTGTCCTTGGCAACTCATTTTCTCCAGCAAGCCTTTACTTCATAAAGGCCTCACAACCTTCCCAAAAAACATCCATGGCCAGAGACCCATTGTTCAACCACATGAGCCTATGCGGGACCTTATGTCCATATAATGTTACTTCTATGCATGTTTTCAGGGCTATTTGGCATTGGACAACTAACTGGCGTGCTCTTCCCTGGAGAAGGCCACCTCTCCTGCTCCCAGCTTTTCCTCAGCTGCTTTTAGTTTTTGTAGGATGGAGAACTGGTGGGCTTTTCCCCACGCACTCTGGCACGTTTGTTCACGCTGGTGAGAGCATGGGTGTTGCTTCTGAAGCTAATGGGAAGCATGCACACTAGTGTCAGTGTCCACTTGCGGCTGTGTCGTCGTCGTTGTTGTTACTACCTTGCTGCTGGTCCCTCAAACCCCTTCAGTCCTTATGTCTTAGTTAGGGTTTCTATTGCTGTGATGGAACACCATGGCCAAAAGCACCGTGGGGAGGAAAGGATTTATTTGGCTTACACTTTCACATCACTGTTCATCACTGAAGGAAGTCAGGACAGGAACTCATGCAGGGCAGGGATCTGGAGGTGAGAGCTGGTGCAGAGGCCATGGAAGGAAGCTGCCTTCTTTCTTGTTCCTCATTGCTTGCTCAGCCTGCTTTCTTATAGAACCCAGGACCACCCGCCCTGGTATGGCACCATCTGCAGTGACCTGGGCCCTGCTTCATTAATCACTAATTAAAGACCTTAAAGAAGCATTTTCTTGACTGAGGTTTCCTCTTTCAGATAACTCTATTTTGTGTCAAGTTAACATAAAACTAGCCCACACAGCTTAAAGTTTGGACACTTTTCTCTTGAATTTTTTTCCCATCCCCATGAAATATTCTCAGAAGTCACAGTACAAGCCCAGGTTCCTAAACTGCATCTAGAAGACAAGAGTTCAAAGAGCTAGGATTTTGTGCTATTTGTCCTCCCCATTCCCAGTCCTAGGTTAGGTCAAGACATAGATGCCCAGCTTGGGTTTAAATGGGAATGATGTCACCCTTATCCTGCAGTTGAAAATGGCAGCCACAGGTCATGACATTAATAGGGTCTTGTGTCCCACGCTGTAGCCCATCCTCTCTTTAATCTCTCTTGGGTGTTTAACATTCACACAGGATTACATGCAGAATGTTCACGGCAAAGAGATTGACCTCCTGAGAACCACTGTGAAAGTGCCGGGGAAGAGGCCACCCCGAGCCACGTCGGCCTGTGCACCCATCTCCAGTCCCAAAACCAATGGCCTGTCCAAGGACATGAGCAGTTTACACATCTCACCAAATTCAGGTAAGCTCATCCCCTCAGGAGTGACCTGAGGGGCGAAGTACTGCTGCAGGTAGATGGTGTTGCCTTGGCAGGCTTGAAGCCGAGTCCCTCAGGCTGTCTCATCTCTGTGCATTTTTTTCTGTGAATGGAAATGTAGCAGGCACGCTACAGCTGTATAATCATAAGTGGCCATGGTGTTCCCAGCTTGGTGCTGAGAGCAGTTCTGTATGTGGATCAGCTAGTTAAGGTACAATGCCTGGCAACCACACATACAGTGCTGGAAGACGCTGTGAGCACGGTGCACAGACCTGTACATGGATGAACTATCGGGTGCTGTCTTAACCATCTCTCATTCCGTAAGGCAACTCTGTTCTTTTTCTCCTTCCAAGAACTTTGGTTTGGTTTGGTTTTTCGTTCAGGATTAGAGAAAGTCTTGTTTTGCAAGAATTTGGTGTATTTGGAAATTCTCGGCCTCCAAGCAGTCACAGCAACTGGCATTATGTTTGTTTTTCGCGAAGCATCTTTGCAGGTAATTGACAGCAGTTTGGGCCTTCATGCGATTGCTTCTCAGAGAAGACAGGTAAAGAGCAGACTCATCTCTCTCCACATGTGGAAGCTCTTTAGGAAGGTTCCTCGTTTCTGCTAACTAAAAGCCCCTTCTCTCACTGGGTCCATCCAGTCTTGGGGGTTTGCTCGGTGGGGTATGTTAACATGCATGTCGGCTTTTTGGAATAATGAGCTCTCACATCTGAAATGCTGGATGTGTTTAAAGACGGTGTGGTGAACTACACAGGGCTGTGAATGGCGCTGGTTGGTGAAAGCGGAATGACAGGAGAGAGTCCGAGCATGGGCTCCCCGAGACGGTGCCTTGTGGTATCTTGTGGTGTTGGGCATTTACCATCCTGTGTACCTACAAACAGAAGAGAAGGGCAAAGTCAGCACCATTACAGATAGTAATCAAAGTAAAAGTTGGCCCCTTCCAGAAAGGTGAGGTTGATGCCCTCTTGGACCCGTTCCCCTGGTCCCACAACGGTGATGAGGTTTCCACATCAGGTGAAAGGAAGGATAGTGGTGTCCTGGGGAGCAGTAAAACCTGGAGTGAAGAGAAAGTTAGCCTCCGTCCTTCTTTACATAACATCACCCCTTCCTTTAGTCATGCATATTTATCCATGCCAGGGCACTGCGGCTTTGGAGTCTCTGGCCCCCAGAATCCCGTCCATGGCACTCACTGCCAGCTTACGTGTCTCACTATACCCAGCTCCTCTCATTCATGGCAGCAAGCATTTGCTTATGGCCCCTCTTAGCAAACCTTCATGTGAGTTTCCTGAAAAGATACCGAGTACCTGCTTGACAAATGTGAAAGGGCTGTAGCATTGAAAAGTTATTTTTAAATTGACAGCAGTTACAGGTATTTGTCCATTATGTGATCACCACTCTGTATACATTAAGTGACTGACCGAAGTCACTACTAACTTTGTAGTGTTCCCTACGCTCCTGAACCCAGAGACACAGACTATAAAGCCCAGTTCTTGCCCTAGAGACTCTGACTGTCTGGTTGGGGATGAAGACAGGAAGTCCAGGGCGGCAGCTGTGGAAGGGTTGAGATCTCTGTGACAGGAAAGAGGGCAGGACTTAGGGCAGAGGGAAGTGCTCCAGGTAGTAGAGTTAGGAACCTGCTGGAAACCTCCATGAGGAAACGGTAATGGTAAGTGCAAGAAACAGTGGATAAAGTAAAGATCGGGACCTCTGAGTCTTGAGACTCGATCTTGGGTGCTGCATGGCATTAGTCCCTACGGACCGGAGCTCTGTGTCCCCACCTCAGGTCACTCACACAGAAAGCCTTGCTGTTGGGCAGTCTTCGGTCTGAGGCATGAGTAAGACCCGTTTACATGGTCATGTTTCCAAGCTTCATGGCGAGGGATCTTGACAACCCTGACTCTGTTAATCTGCGAGAGAACCTGGTTGATTTTCTGTGGACTGTAGACATCAGCTGGGATGGGGAAGTCAGACTGTGACATAAGTCATGGTGTCTCAGGGTCACAGTCATACTTTGGGCAGTGCGGCCCCCTCAATAGGCATTACAGAGGACGTCATTCTCTGCTTCTAGTAAGAGTTGATAAGACCTCTAGAATGTACCCAGTTTAGTCCCTTGAGTCTAAAGCCGGACTGTGGGTCCAGTATGTAAGAGACAGCTTTTCACCAAAATGTTGTGATACTTTGTTATATTGACTTCTTATACCTGGACGTTAATCTAAAATGACATGTTGCTTTTTGCTTAAGAAATCAACACATTTGCTGGGTTGATTTCTTATTCTCTAAATTATGCTCTGAAAGTCAAGTTCCCTGTGTTTGAAGTTGTTATTCATAAACCACTCTATGGTGAGGAGCGGCAGCGTGGAAAACTATTCTGTTGATGTGATGAACTAGAGCTAAAAAGAGTTATTGTAGCTATTTGACAAATAATTGAACTCGATAATTGAGTACACTCTTGACTCTTGGCTTCTGCCGTGTGGGTATTTTGAGAGTCTGGGGTAGCGGCGGGTGTTTGGTTCCCTTGGTGATGTCTTTGTTGTCTGGCTGACCTGGGAAGTGCACATACCTGAGCCTTGGCACTCAGGACTTACTCCCCAGCAGCCAGTAACCACGGGTAATGTGGTTCAGCCGGTGAACCCTCTGTCACCGGCTTGATACATGTTTCCAAAATAATCTCTAGAGATATTTTCTATAAAATACCACATGAAGCAGCTTTTAGCTGTCATTTTCAGAATCAACAGGGTAAAAACACCCCATGCTGTGTGTATTTTGTCTCTTCCAACAGTTGTGAATCTGGGTGCCTCATGGGCTTATTACCTATGCATATCTCTTGTTGTAGTTCTTTACATGTCTTGTTTGCATGTATTTTAATAGGTCCTTTTTATTGTTGATAAGGAAACACTCTTTATATATTGAGGGTATTGGTATTTTATAATATGTATAACATATAGAATGCAATAGTTTACTTTTGCTTCATGATCTTTATACATAGTTTTTTTTTCTTTTTTTTCCCCACCTTTGGTATTAAGTATTATGGTTCAGTAGTCACTCATGTTTGTTATATATACAGTCAGATTAATTATGTTCTTTAGATACATAGAGATTGTACTCTGTATAGGTAGGTAATCTTCAACCACTTCAAGGATCTGTAGAACATGGTAGTTAAATAACTTAGGGTTCTGTTGACGTGAGACACGGTTACTCCAGACAGCACCAATCTATTCCCGAGAGAATGTTGAAGCACCAAGGACACTCCACTTGGTGCTTGTTTTCTTCTTGCTACAATCGGCCTTTGGGCAAGAAACTACCCATGTCTTGGTCACTGACAAAGTACATGGTGTCCGGACTGGACTAGAAGGATACAAGGAAAAAGACTGCCAAACCTTGCCAAGACTGGGTGAGATAGTTCTAAAAATTTTCCTGCCTCTGAAAATGGTCTGTTAGTTACTCTAGGCCTTAGCCAAAGTTGGTTGCTTCAACATTGCAAATGAGACTTTGGGTGATTGCTCAGGTAGCCAGTTTTCTCTGTCATTTACTGCACACTTTGGAAGCTGCTTGATTGCACTTCCTACCTACCCAAGTAATGTTGTCTCCCTTCTCAGGTCTTCGATGGGGTTGAAGATTAGATAGTCATAGTTACCTTGCTCTTATGATTTAGCCAAGCCATTTCCAATGCAAGACTTAGACTCTTTAGAAGTGTTTATTAAAACATTTAATAAGTGTTCCTTGCTTAATATTGTTTATGTTGGTTGTAATCTTAATTTTATACTTTATACCTGTTCCTAGTTTTGTATTGGATTTGGAACTCTCTTATTTAGACAAAGGGGGAAGGTGATGGAGAATCTCTGTCAGCCAGTGATCTTTAAGAGGTGGGACCAGGTTAGGGCATGACCTTTTGGATACCCAGAGAAAAACACTGACCCGTGCTGGGTTCTCTCTCTCTCTGTGGTTCCTGCAGTACACAACTGAGGTTGGACTTCTTGTTCCTGTTTCATGAGTTTGACTCTTATAATAAAGAAAATATAATTGGTTTATCTTGGAGTTTGCCTGGGATTCTTTGATCTGTGTCAACACCACTTCAGTGAGACTGAAAACTCAAGAGATAAACAGATAGCTAAGATCAGTGCAACCGTCAGTTGGTGCATCAGACTGGCACATCTGTTCTTGGCAGGGTTATGGTTTGGCTGTTGTTTTGTGATTGGTTGTTTGAGACAATGTCTCTCTGTTTAGTCCAGGTTGTCCTAGATCTCACTATATAGACCAGGCTGGTTTCAAACTCAAGAGTCCATCCTCTTGACTTTGTCTCCCCAGTGCTGGGATTAGAGTCATGCACCACCATACCTGGCCAGGATTGTGTTTCCTTGTGTATTTGGATATCAGTGTATTATGTTTCTCAGGCATAGTGGTAGCCTATTATTTACTTTTATGCATTTTATAACTTTAAATTTAGAGATTTTTATTTTCCTTTTCCCTGTGGAAATGTTGACTGTCACATCTTGAAATGCTGGAAATGTTATAATCTTAATGTTCATTTCTGCCGTGGCCTTGGGAAGGAGGAAAATCACATTATCCTGGTAACTACTCCGTGAACCCCATCTACCTCATCTTTCCTATGTTCCTCGTGTACTTCTGGGGTTGCAACTCAGCTGGTAGTGCGCTTGCCTCATATATGGTGCCCAGAGTTTGATCCCCAGCACCACAGGAGCTGGGTTTGGTAGACAGTATCTGTGATCCCAGCACTGGAGAGGTAGAGGCAGTAGCATCAGAAGTTCAGGGTTATCCTAGACTACATAGCAACCTTGAGAACATGCTGAAATATAAGAAAGTTCATCTCAAATAAGTAAGTAAGTAGGGCTGGTGTGATGGCTCAGCAGGTAGAGATCTGAGTGCTGTTCCTAGGATGCTCATGGTGGAGGGAGAGAACCAGCTCCCACAAGCAGTCCTCCGACCTCCACACATAGTAATTAAACGTAAGGAAAAATAGTTTA